GCTCACTTGAAGGTCAAGGATCAAGCAGTTAGAGGGACAGGCAGGAGGAGAAACAGAAGGGGACCTGGGTGGAGACGGTTCTGGAGAGCTGGCTGCTGCAGGGACCCTCAGACTGGTCTGATCCGGGTCGTGGGCAGGTGAGGAAGGAGAGCGAGGAGGAGTTTCAGGCGGGGACCTCGGTGATGAACCTCCTGAAGAGCCGGCTGAAGACGGGATCCTCCTCAGGATCACCCTCGGGGTGGACCAGTCCGGGTCCTGGACGAGGGTGTTGGCCATCCTGACTCGCTGATTCGTCTAAAAGACAGAAACAATCCCAAAATGTAAACCTCTGATAAATTGAAGAACATGTTTTCTAAAAAATAAAGTCCTCACATCCTCACACTATTAAGTGATGACCAACAATCAATTATTATTCATTAAATGATTAAAAGTCACATTTTCAGTATTTACAGTAGAAAGTATTTTTTAAATATCTATATATTGTTGGTTTAATGTGTTATTAAAGTTTACACTCATAGATTCATTCAGGATCAAACATAAAGTTCCTGAACCAAACTACTTTCACTGTATAAATGAAATAGACTATTTGAGTTTTAAAACAGTTAAAGGTCTGACAGAAAATCATTTAGTTTTTATAAAGATCACGACAGAAGCAGCTGCTAACATTATTATGTTTTAATATTTAATTTATTACATGTTTTCATATCTGTTTGTGATAAAAAGTGAATAGTCTTAAAAACCTCTGAGTCCATGTTATCTTATTGAACTTTAAACGTGTGATCGTATCGATCTAGTTTTATTCAAATCATCAATCTTACATCCTGCATGTTCAAACACTTGATGATAGGAGGAGAAACGTTTTCGATGAAGATCTTTTGTGAAAAAATCCTCGAAAATATGAAACTTTTAAACCACTTTGGATATTTCTGCTGTCTCTGAGTTTGTTTTTGTTCGAATAAATTCATTTTCGTATCTGGTCTATCACCATGGCAACCATGCAGCAGGTTACTATGGAGATTTAAAATGCTGTTTACTTTTTAAATATAGCTAACTTTATTTTAAAAGTGTATTTAAGCTAGGCTACAACATGTAAATTAAAAATGAGCTAGGCTACAACATGTAAATTAAAAAAGAAATAACAGAAAATAACAGAAATAAAGTTCATGAATTAAGACCCTAACGATGAGAAAATAATAAAGGATGAAAATTGAGACAAACGCACATCAGTCCAACATGTGGGGCAAAGTTAGCTTACTTTCATTAGCTTATCTTTTTGTTGTCTATTTGAACTCGACCTGGTCTGAAGCCTTAAATTAAATTGTGTTACTATTTTCAGTTTGTGTAAAACGTCTGTCATGTGTAGGCTAATGTGAGTTTTAAATGTCATTTAATAAATTTTAACCTCGTTTACTCTCAAAGTTACGATCGTGTGGACAGTAAAACAGTTTAATTCAAAGAATCAATCTTACGTCGTCCGTGTTGACACTCTTGAGCTTCGTGATGATGTTCAGTCGATGTTTGGAGAACAAATCGTCGTTGATGAAAATCTTTGTCCAAGAAATCCTCGAAAATATCAAACTTTAAAAGCACAGAAAAAAATTGCTGCTGTCTCTCAGTCAGATTTGTTTCAAAGTACTTTGACTTTGTTTTTGTTCGAATTACTTAATTTTAGAATCGTCTCCTGGCAACCTGGGTTACTATGGAGATTTTAAGTAGACTATTTAAATCTACGATCTACATTTTTTTTAATATATAAAACTGGAATTTATTTTTTGCCAATTATTTTTTTTGTCACATGATTTCCCTCCAATCTTTTAGTCTTTAAATTGAGCCTGCAGATAGAGACTTCTAAAAATATAAAACACCGCTTTTCTCGATTTTATCTGATTAACCCCCTCTTCCACAAAAAGGACACCAGGTGACGCTGTTATTCAGGTGGTTGAAGTATCTGTGAGCTCTGTGCTCCAGCCTCATAATATTCATACTTAAAGGCTGACCAAACCACACATGTGTTTTTCAATCCCCTCTTTGTGTGGTAGGCCTATTTGAACCTTTCTTGCTTTGATAAAGATGAGGCTGCCACTTTGATTTCTAAGGCTCTTTTATAGACAATCGAAAGCCTCACTTAAAGTAAAATGCACAAGTAACACACTTAAAGTGTTATCTCCTTTATAACAAAAACATACCAAAGTGTTTTTAAAGAGCAAGCACTTAATAGTCTTTGGTTTGGTAAACTACATTACAATAAATTCAAAATGGTAAATGGACTGGACTCACAAAGCACTTTTCTAGTCTTCTGACCATGAAAACACTCTGCATGTAGCCTATAACATGACCAACAGATTTGTTGAGATTTTTTTTTTTGCCCATATTAGTTCCTTCCATGCATGAATTATAATATCAGGTTTGTTTGTTTTTTTTAAATGCAATTTGCAATTTTAGGACATGCAAAGTGACATTATTATTTATTTCATCTTAAATTCATAATTCTGAAGAAGTTACAGAAATTTCCACTAGAGTGGACATGATGCAACCCCAAAATGCAAATAAATACTTGTATTTATTTATTTTGGAGTGCATTAACTTTTCATCTTATAATTTTGACTTTTTATCTCATCATTTCGATTTAATATGAGCAATAAAAAAATTCTCAACAAAGTTTAAATTTTAATATTTTTGACTGGCGGAAATCTAAGTTTATGGGACCATGGGAAAGCAGGGGCGGGGTTTACCATTAGTAAAGAAATTCAACCAACCAGGGCTCTCCAATTATTAAAGCCCCACAATGGCTATTTAGTTTTTAACCCTAAAATTGATGCTCCTAGTCTAACACATATAGGCTAATTGTTTTCCAACAATGGGAAAACAAAAAACAAAAAACTAAACTGTAGGCTATTTAATTAACTGTAGCCTACTTCCCCCCGTAGCCTACTGCCCTGAGAGCTACTTGCATAGTGACTGCCCTTCACATCAGCCCTTAGTAAAACATTGTAAGCCTTGTTCTGCAAATTCATCCCATTTATAAAAAGGGACTGAAGGTTGGGAGCACGGGTTTTTCATGTTTCACTGAAGCTAGGAGATTTGGATCCATGTCACCTTTTTCAACCCTGATGAGTTTGCACCCCTGTATAAATATTACAAGCATTAGTTGCAACTTTATAATAGTCATTCACATATTGTTTATGAATGGTTTATAAACCATGTATAAAGCAATTATTAGTTTTATAAACATCAGTTCCAACTTTATAATAACCATCCAAATAATGTTTATAGATGGTTTACAAACCAATTTTTAATCATTGATAAAACATGAATTATCTATCTAAAAAATATTTATAAATGCTTTACAAAGTATCAATAAGGGATTATAATCTTCAGTTCCAACTTTATAATAACCATCCACATAATGTTAATAGATGCTTTATAAAATATTTACAAACCATGAACAAATATCTGGTCCATGTGTCTCTGTAATGTTTATAGATGTTTTATAAACCATCTCTCGTTTATAAATCATTTGGTCATCATTAACAAACACTTAATAAAGTGTATGAAATGTTATAATGTGTGCATCAATAAACTGTTAACATAACATAAATTATAGCGTTACAAATCATTAACATTATTAACTATCATTTCATTGTTGTTAACAGTAAATAACTATTAACTAATGGTTAATTAACTATATATTTACCCTTTTTTACCCTTTATAGATGATGGTTATTATAAAGTGTTACCTAAAAGGCAAAAACATTATGAATCCCCCCCGCCCCGTGATTTAAGCCTCCTTGTTTCAGTATTAAGACACAAACAGCACACAGGAGTTGCTTCAAGATGCCACTTCTATAAGACAGCTCTCAAGTCATTCCAACAACACGCTAATAAACAGAGAGGAGGCTCGACACGCTCTTTACTCTTTATTTAGTTTTTGCATGGCTGTTTGTTTCCAAAGATGACAGCAAATAAAACCAGCCAATTGAGATCACTGTTACACATAGTTCTGCCTAAAAGGTTGAGTGTCTGTCTGCTCTTCAGGAACACTGGATCTCTAGTGTAACAGTCTGTTTTACCGCCTGTAGAGGCCTCGTGTAGGGAATTTACTCAGCAGAAATGAGACAGGTGAACATGTGGGGCAGTGGGGGAGAGAAAAAACATCCTAAAGCTGAGTCTTAAATTCCGACGAGGAGTGTAATTACAGCAAAGAGAGCGGGCATATGGCTCTGCTGTAGATGTGTTTACACTGTGCACTCAGCTGGGGTTGGCTCATTATCAAAAGGGGAGAGAGGAGAGAAAGCACAATCCCTTGCTCTCCTCTCTCCGTCTGCTTTAGGAGGAGAGATCGTCTAGAAGCATGTGGTGTAACTAAAGGGCTGGTTTTTGAATATGTGTGGGTTGACAGGGAGACATAGCGTCGCTCCTCTTTCTACTTCTTCACCACTCCACCTTTGTTGTCCACGTTGACGGGTATGGTGGTTTCTGAGGATTGGATGGCGGGCACCATCAGAGGAGCCTCCACGGTCAGGAACCCCTCAGGAGACAGGGAGGAGGTCACCTTCTCGATGTTAGCTGAAGAGGGGAGGCTGCAGGGGGGAGAGGAAAATCGTTTTATTTGAAATCAGATATAGTTTTACCATGCTGGAAGTCCAAACTAAACGTGGGAAAAGTTTCGGACCACGAGGTAAACGTGTGTTGGAGTAATCCAAGGATAAGTCTGCAGAGGGCGCTAAAGAGCTTGTTCTGTAAATGACGGGATAGTCATAGATTTGAAACCAAGAATTTCACATGATGGCTTCAAGCCTTGGCTTACGTAAAATCTCTTCTCCCAGCACTGGAGAGCAGCCCTCCCCTGGCAGCCCTGCAGCTTTCTGCCCTCAGTAAGTCTTCCAGAGAGCTGGCCAATCAGAAGAAAGTGGGCATGTGGGGAGGGGCGCCTCAAAGGGACAGCAGCTTAAAACAAACCTTTTCAGGCAGAGGTTTGAAATGAGGGTTTTTACTGACGACAGTATAAGATACATAAGGAGTTTTTTTGAGCTGCAATCCTGCAAAGCTGCTCTATAGGTTTCACAGACCGACATCATGGTGAACATGAGGTTTGATAAAGGATTCATATCTCTAGTGAACAACGTGAACTTGCAAAATTGCCTTTTTCAATTAAAAAAAAAAAAGCATCACTGCCTCTTTGAATATTAAAGCCTGAGTCCTCTCAGTGAGGTAAAATCTGATCCAGGACCAGCTCAGTCTTTGTCGCGGCCCCTGGATGGCAGCAGAGCCCTATGAAGCTGCACTCAGAGGAGGGATGAATGCCATGAGGTGGAGGCTGCTGCTGCTTTTCAGAGCATGAAATTCAGATATCAGCAGCAGCCAGGCCTCTACAGACATGCCCAACCCAAAACTAAAGAGACTCCCATCTGCAAAGCAACATTAAGAGAATCTCAGGAATTGAAACCCACTCTGAGACACCAATTTTCCTCCGTGAAGAGTCACTGACAGAGCCACAGCGAGAACACAAATCTGTCCGTTTTGAAGTGAGTTGTTGACATTATGAAGCTTCTTTTCATGAAATGGCCTTTTAATTAAAAACAGTACAATGCTTGAGTGCTTAATGCTTTAGTTATTGATTCACTTGAAATCATTGATCCATGTACTTACGTGTACTTCCTGGTGAAGCATCTGGACACAAAACCATGCTCGTCCTTCCTCTCCTCATGCTTCCCTGAGGACACAGACAACATACTTTTACGATGATGCGGCGGCACTAATATGAAAGATATATTCACTATGAAATAAAGAATCTATCAGGATGTATTGATCCAGCAGGAAGATAAGGCACTTGTATCTTTAAAATAGAATATTTGATTCAAATCTAAACATTAAGGGGAAAGCAAAATGCCTAGGAAATATAAAACTAAAAGTGGACTGTTTAATAAGTAAATTTGTGCATTCATTCCCTTTAATCCTTATAAATAACTTCAAGATTTACTGGACTTCATCTCTTGCACATGTAGACTGAAATATCAGAAATGATTGTGGCTCATAGCATCCAACTGGCTGTATGTTGCTTCTATTTTGTCTTGTCAAAGCCGTTTCAAATGTTGGTGCTTTCCTGATACAATCATGTTTTACTGTATTGCCCCTTCTGTGATTGGGCTAACCCTAACCTTACACATTTGTGATGTACTACTTTGATCTGAATGACTGGTATTTGTTGTCTTAAAGTTCACATATTATTCTCATTTTTTAAAAGTGTAAATAAGTCTCAGAGCTCTAAAAACATGTCTGTGAAGTGTCTTGTTCTAAATCCACTCTGATCCTGTATTTGATCATGTCTATAAACCCCTCTATTTCAGCCCTGCTCAGAACAGGCTGTTTCTGTGTCTGTACCTTTAAATATATAAATGAGCTGTGTCTGACCACGCCCCCTCTCTGGAAGGGCTCGGGTGGCTCTGACTTTCTCACTCCATGTCCTATTGTTTACGGTGAGAAGGCAGACTCAGAGGGCAGAACAAACACCTAGCTGTGGGAGTGTCACACACCTGGGGGAGGGGTTACTGCCCTTTGTGATGTCATGAAGGGAAAATCACCAAACGACCTGTTTGAGCACACATTTTCTGAAAAGTGGAGCAGGCAAAAGACGGAGAGGATGGACTTTTCTCATCATTGGGGTTTGTAGACAGACTAGAGACACATAATAGTGTTAGAGAAACATAGTGAAGTGGGTTTTGAATAATATGACCTCTAGAATGCATTCAGTATGTACTGCTCTCATGTCACTTTAAACAATAAATGGAAAGAAAAGAATATGGAAAAATATTTCTTAAAAGGTCTTTACATTTATATTGATCTCATATTGTTGTGTATTAGTGACACAGGACAATGCAAACAGTACAATGACCGTGCTATTCTGTGTTGTGGAGGCCTTCAGGTGGTATTTTTATCTTTTACAGCTGCTACCCACATCAACAGAGAAATTCTGACCAGCATTAGTCTGGTCAGTCTCTCTCAGGCATGAAGAGGCCTGGCTGTGAAGCTGTCCTCCATCCTGGTTCTAAATGCAGTCATATGTTTGTTTTGACGACGACAGGCTGATAACACTCGCTCTCCCTCGGGGAGCTGTCCTCTTTTCCAGCAGGACGAGTCTGCTGGTGAGAATGTGGCAGAGCCAGGCTTTCAGCTTCCACACGAGGCGTCATTAAGCTCACCAAAAAGTACTGTTGCATAAAGCGGCTGCACTTTTATGTGAAGCCAAAAGTAAAGCCGATGATGTCACTGTAAAAACATGCCATCCTCACTCTCTGAATACACAAGGTAAGGGAATTCCACATGGGAGAGTAAATCCTGCCCTTTGTTTATCTTCACTGTTCCTGACTATAATGCCCATGTCTCTCTGCAGTGAAATATTAACCCTAGTCGTGCTCAGAACCTAGACCTGGACGAGATCCAGCAGTCCTTTTAAAGTAGCAGACAGAGGGGTAGTGATATAACTCTAGAGAGTGATTCTCTATGAAAGGTCAGACACAGACACTCAGACTGAACACAGGAAGAAAGTGGGCTCAAAGCCTCACAGAGCTGAGATATGATATCTGTCAGTCCTCACATATTGGTGCCGATTCTTTCACTTTCTCTGTTGGTCCTTCAGAAACATTTAACATGACAAGAGTGAAACCATCTCTCTGATAAAGGAGTGTGTGCACTGTTTTCTTCTTCTGTGAGTTGTTTCAAAAGTCAACTCCCACATGTTGAATTGCTTTGCATCTATCAGGCGAGCGGCCAGAAGCCCCCGCCCTGCAGTACACAGGAACGCTAGAAGTATTGTGTCTCCAGGTATTATGTAACTCTGCAGCAATGCATCTGCCTTGTGCCTGACCTAGCAGAAAGGTTTCCTGTCTTTTTTGTCCTGTTTTGTTGAGAACTGCAGACGTTTGTCTTGTACAGGGAGGGGACCAAAGAAGAGTGTTGTCATCCATTGCACTTTTCACCATCATTTGACAAATCTCACAATATTCATTCCTTCACTGGGTGGAACTTCAAGTTCCTACATTAAAAAAACAATTCCTGTCATTCATCAGACATATTTAATTCCCGAGTTGATCATTAAATGCACTCGGACACGTTGTGACTTCCTCATGATGGGATCAGTGTTCACAATATTTCTGATTCTTGTTCCTAAGTACATGTACACATTATTTTTTAACATGTAACCATACTTCTGTAGAGTTTAAGATTTAGATTATTGAGTTATTATTTTTTCTTTGAGCTTCCCTAAATTTAATCACATGTTATCGGCACATCCTACTCCTAACCTTTTCAATTTTAGGGTGAATTTTGAGTCTTGACATCCAGCCTGATTTCAGTCTTAGTGGACGGGACAGTCAAATGTTAAAAAAGTTGTTTTCTTGTGGTAGCTGTCTGCGTATATCATTCAGCAGCGGTGTTTTGTAAATGCACAACAAACATTATATCATCCCGAGAAAAATAAGAGAAGGAAACACATCAACAGAGGAGAGATGCCAAGTGGGAGGACTTCGAGTGACAGGAATGATATTCAACAAGGCAGAACACAGCAGCAGATATTTCCCGTCAATCTAATTTACAAACTGGAATAAAGTTAATGTGAAGTATTTCATTTGATAGCCTCCCAAATAGGACCTGAGTCACAGTTAGCTCTGCACAGAAGCAGCTGGTAGAAATGGCCTTCACAGGGATTCTTCTTTCTTCTAATGTTAATACTGTCAGAGCCTGTACCTTTTCATTTTCAGTATAAAAAGATGACTTCTACTTTAGGTAGTAAGATTGTCTTTTTGACCAAAGGCTCTGTACCTCTACTTAAGTAAAACATATTTGTACTTTTTGTCAGATCAGAGTCTGACTGTTTCTCAAATCTCCAAGACAAAAAAGAAAACGGATGAAAGAGAAATGAGCACTGACCTGTGATCTCCACTACTCCGTCTTTGGTCTTGACCACGAGCTCCTCAGGTGAGAAGTGGTTCACATCCAGAGACACCTTCCAGCTGTCTTGGGTCTGCTTGATCTCTGACATGCCGGTGCTCATCTGGCGGGTCAGAGCACGGGCCTGCTGGGCCATGACAGCGCCCGGATACATCATGGTGGTCTGAGGCATCATGGGGGTCTGAGGCATCATGGGGGTGTGGGGCATCATCGAGCCCATTTCAGGGGTAAACACGGAGGGCCTCAGGTACCCGGGCCAGTGGGTAGTGGGGAATGTGGTGAACTCCTCGGGCAGAGCCGGCATGCCGAAGGTCTGGTCGAAGATACGGCTGTTTTGCTGCCAGTCCCGGAAGGGGTCCCAGCTGGGGGTGCGGAGCAGGGTGAAAGGAATACGCCTCTCAGTCATGGTGCTGTGTTTGGATGTTGGAGGGAGGAGCTGCTGGCTGCAGAAGAAGAACCCTTTGGTCTCTCTGAAAAAGTTTTCCCAATGTGCTGTGTGCCTTTCCACTGTAAGCTTTTATTCACACTGACACCACCCCAGTCAACAGAGCCCTCCCCTCTGACTCAAGCCCCCCCAACATTTTTATGGAAAGTACTAGAGTAGGCCTATCTATTTGTGGCAGGCGTAGCACTGGAAAGGAATCCAACAGGAAGGCCCTCCCCAATAGCAGCTGCCCAGTACTCTGTTAAACCTGCCTCCCCCTGTTGTGTCTAATCCCCCCTCCCACCCTTCCTCTGCTTCTCTGGATGTCCCAAAGAGCCAGAAGAATCTAGGAGGCTGCTGGGAAGCTGACCAGGCCTGCTGATAAAGCTCAGATAAGACTCACATGCTATTTCTAACATGACACTGCACAGGCTATGATGTCCTATACAGGACAGGCTGTCCAATGCTATTATCAGACTCATTAAATACACAGTATGATTTCAGTTTGGGAGATGGATCAAAATGACCAGCGCACACAGACCCATAAAACAAGAGGCCGACTCAGAGGCTGCGAAAAGAAGTCAAAGAAGAAATGCAAAAAAACCCCAGAAAAAACCCAGTTCCTCAAGTGTCCACTTGAGGCTGACTCCAAAAGTGAATCATTCCCAATTAGACCCCATATGATAATGCTCAACTTTACAGAAGTATTAAACATTTACAGGTTGGTTTATAAAACAAAACAGGTTTCTTATCTTGCTTCATTACGTAAGATTATGAATCCTAAATATAAAACATGTTTGATAAAAATGCAGGCGGCCCGAAGTTAAGATTGGATCACTTTTACTACAAAATAATCTGAGCAGATAATCGGTTCAGAGCAGACTCGAGTCTGGAACACCCCTCCCTCCCACCCTTTAGGAAGGTGGACTAGAACCAAAAGCCCGATTAGCAATCAATCAATCTTTATTTGTATAGCGCCAATTCATAAGAAACGTTATCTCAAGACTCTTTACAAAAAGCAGGAAAAAGACCTTACTCTTTGTAAGATTACAAAGACCAAACCATAATCCATCATGAGCATGAAGCAACATTTAGCAAAGTTACAGTGGAGAGGAAAAATTTCAAAAACCTTGAGGAGATACAGACTCATATTGAACAACTGTCTGCCAAGACTGGTGAAGCGGACGACACACATTTTGTGGTCTACATTTTAAAGTTCTTCATGTTCAGCTTCAGCTTCATTACTGCCTGTTAGCAGATCAGTGTCGCTGACGTCAGCCCTCATGTGATTAATGTCACCAACAGGCAATTAATAAGTGGTGGTTACTCTAAGCTGCTGACAGCTTGGCTGACTGTTGTAGTAACTGTGTGTGACTTTATTGTATGTATATGCCATCTCAGTAGCATGTAGCCTCTATGGTACCCTGTAACCCCTGAAACCATCAAGGAATAACTTAAAACAAACAAAACCCTCAAAATAAAAACCCAAATTAATGCATGCCCTGACTAAATATGATACCATTCACTCCTCCAATACTACAGCTGGACTCTTTACTGATAACAAGGAGGCAGACTACAGAGGAGGTTCAACATGTTTCTACGGAGATGATGACTCTGTTTTATAAAAGTTTTATTGAATCTGTTTTAAATTTTTGCATCGCTGCATGTTATAGAAGCCTGAACTTGTCAAACAAGAATAGACTTGGGAGACTTGGGAGACTTGTAAAAACAAGCAGTAGAATCTCAGGGTGTCAGGTTGGGCTTTTGACCTTGTATAATCAGCAGGTCCTGAGGAAAGCTAGGGCCATACTTATGACCCCAGATCACCCACTTCACAGTGAGTTTCCGCTTGTGGGACAATAAAAACTCTGAATCTGAATCTGAAAGACATCTACCTCATTGGTGCCATCTGCAGGGAAAACCTGCACAACCCCTGTATGATGTATCATATAATTTTTTTATTTTTCTTCATTTTTAAATATCTTATTAGTCCCTGAGGGAAATTTTGGTTTACACTCTGTCATTGAGAGACATGCTTTTCACACACACAGGCCCCAATCACAGGTAGGACCTGTGGAAATCCAAGGGCACTTCAGCAGTGCGGCTCTGCCCTATTCCGTATTTTGGTCCGCACTGGGGCTTGAGCCGGTGACCCTCCGGTCCCCAGCCCAGGTCCTTCCAGACTGAGCTACTGCCACCCCCAGGCCCATCAAAGAAATTACAACACCAGTCAGGTTTTTTCCCCATTTGATTCCATTTATTGTCAGGTATAATAAGTTGTACACTACAGAGAATGACTTGTAGAACCAAAGGGGCGATGCTATACTGGAATAAATAAACAGGTTTGCAGAGTATCATAGTTGAGTTCAATCAGGTTATACTGGGAGTGAAACACTGTGAGTGACATGAGACTGGGCCAATGGAAAGGAAGACTTAAGGGTGATCCCTGATTGTACCGCCAGTTTGTTAACATATGAGCTCCATCTTTCTGCCTTTATTTTGAAATAACACATGATGGTAAAAAGCGAAATGTTACGCCCTGCAATCAAAAATACAAAAGTAACTACACTTCAATTGAAAAGTAAGTAAATTTGTGTAAAAAAAAAAAAGATTGATCTGTTTTTTGGGTTCGTAGAGATTGTATTTTTTAAATGAGCAAAAAAAGACAAATTTATCCAGTCATTCACTTAATTTCACATGTCACAAAAAACACATTTCTGATTGCATTACATACATTTTATGCTTTTAAACCATACACATTTGTAATAATAAAGTCAGAAAGTGACCTCTTGACTACTGACCCATAATGAGAAGAGGGTGTGTGTTGGCTAAAACCATCAGAGTATCAGGCTCCTCTCCACACACTGGGGTGTTTTGGTTCTGACACTTTCTAATGCAGGCAGGTACACTACAGTTTGAATTAAAGGAGCAATATGTAACTCTGACACCTAGTGTTTAAAATGGGTACTGCAGTCCACATTCTAAACATTGTAGAGAGCTGTCTCCCCCCGCCCCCTCCTCTCTAGAGTCGATGCTCACACAGGTCACCATGTGGTGGACACTGAAGCTTCAGTGTTTATCCAGCTCTGCATCAGTCTGTAAACCTTTCTGTGTTCTAACCTCTCTCCATTTTTCAAAAGCATCTCCAATATTGATCCTAGTTTGAGCACGTTTCTGCTCGTGGAGCTTATTAGAAACATGCAGAGGCTTTTTAGGTCGGGTACAATCACTTCTATCTGAACCACTTCTCTTGCCCGCTTCCATCACTGCAACACCTGTTGACCTGATAACTGCTCTCATATCTGGCAAACCGAGGGGCGTTCAAAACAGCCATGTGGGGGTGTCTTAAAACCGCCTACCTTCTCTGGTCCAAACAAATCCAGAGCATTCAGGACCAGAATCTAAAGTTAGAAGGAGGACATACTGGCTGCTGCATTGTTGTCAGAGAAGCCAGCACTTCAACACATATTGCTCCTTTAAAGTCAACCTTTACATGTGGAGCCATAAAGGCGACTATGGGAATAAATGCGGGCAGAGCCTCCGTCCCTCTGGCTGAAATCAGAGGATCTTTATCATGTTCACCCTGCTCGCTAATCCAATAGCGATATTAAGCCTTCACCATATTAAGAGACAGATCTGTGTAAAACATGGACATGAACAGTTCATCCTCAAGTGGGAATACATTTGCAGCTAACTCAGCTTCAAAAGCACAATCCAACTGCTTTAAATAAATAAAATAAATAATAAATAACCCAATAAATAAATTTAATAAATACAGTAGAATAATAAATAGTTGTGTAAAGAGTGCATGGAGGCCTTTTTGCAGACAGTTTCCTGTACAGTACCAGCATCAGAGCTGCACAAATATCTAATGACCTCACTGGACACTGCGGAAGAGGTACACACACTCACTCACACACACACACACACACACACACACACACACACACATTCTCACACATGATGTCAGGATTAGCAGAATCAACATAATAATTTAAACAGGGAAAAGAGTAAAAATACATAATACATAGTTTCTTTTGCCTTCTTTTCTCATTCAGCTCTGTCTGCAAGCAGCTGACACACTGAGCATGTCAGAGGGGAGCCCCGATGCACCCTGGCAGCGATCATGTCGGCCAGGTGACTCTCCTTTTATCGAGCAGCAAGTCTCTCTTGAAGCATCATGCTAAACAAGCCTCCCTTAGACTACATGGAATATACAGTGCATAGTTTACAAAGCCAGAACGCAAAGAGAGTTTACATCTATTCACACAAACCTATACATCATTTTTTAAAAAAGTTATTTTTTCCAATTGTTTTTCGCTTACGATTTCATCCTCCGACTTTCTCTTTTTTGTTCTCACTTTTGTTGATCGCGCTGCATCGTTGAAATTAAAGTCTTTGAGGAGAAGAGTTCGTGATGAGGGAAGAAGAAAAAAAGTCTGATTTTCTGAAATGTAAAGTGAGCTGCTGTTGCGTCCACATTTCTTCTTTCTACTCGGCTCCTTTTTGTAGTATATATATATTTAGATAGAGTGTATATATAGTTTTAACTTGATTCATTTTTGGTTGCTTGGTGGAAGAAGAGAAAAAGTGCTTACATACAGCAAGATTTGTTCTCTGGGCTCTACCGGACTTTTCCTTTGTATAAGATATAATGAACAGTGGCAGCCAATTTGATAGTTATGTGCTATATTTAAAAAAACATTCTCCTCTTTGATCCAAGCTCGGCTTTAGAGAGAGATAGAGGTGGGGGTGGGTGGGGGGTGAGGGGCCCTGGACCGTCATTAAAACCTATCAGGACTTCTCTCTTTGATTCTGTTTCTCTTCTGTCCGTTTCCTTCAGAATCCCGGGCTGTCGTAGCTGCTGCGGCTGTAGTAGCTGTGGTGGCTGCGGGATCGACTCCTGCTGCGGCTCCAGCTCCGGCTTTGGCTGCGATTACGGCTCCAGCTCCGGCTGCGGCTCCGGCTCCTGCTATGGCTCCGACTGTGGCTCCTGCTGCGGCTGTAGCTGCTGTAGCTGCGGCTCCGGCTGCGGCTGGAGCGTGCCGGACTGCTGTCGGAGCTGGATGAGGACGGACTTGGTCTGTAGTACGGGATCGGCCGCTTCCGAGCGCTGAGGGAGAGGAGGAAGTAGGAGAAGTGTTAACAAATATATTGGACTTTAGGTTGGATATTGGATATTAGTGTCGCATCCTTCATTGATGTGTTGGAATTAATGGAAAATAAGAGTTTCTGAAAGGACACATTTAAACATCTCTCATCAGCTCTCTCGGTTTGAAACATCTCAGGAAATGGAAGTGCTATAACTTTTTTAAGATCTTCATTGAACAGCTTTTGTCAAAAATGCAGAAAATGCCCAAATGTTTAAAACACTCCAGTTTCAGTGCTAGGAATAAAGCTATGCTATACTCGTGGATAGAAAGATCATTCAATGTTCGAACGGGTCTGAGTTGGTACTTTATTTCCTTAAAGAGCATTTTTTGTGACAAGCATGGTTTTCACAAAATCCTTTTTCTTTTCTTTTTTCACTATTTTAGACGTTCCCAGATTTTGCAATGAGTGTTAAGTACTTAGAATACACAGGACAAGAGTTGGTGAAGTCATCCACATACAGTAGTGCATGGTTTAGCCAATTTCTGTAAGCTCTTGTGTGATTTTAAAGGTCACATTATGTAAAATCCACTTCACCATGTTTCTCTAACACTAATATGTGTCTCTAGTCCGAATACAAACCCCCCAGTTATAAGAAAAGTCCATCCTCTCCGTCTTTTGCCTGCTCCACTTTTCAGAAAATGTGTGCTCAAACAGTCTGTTTGGAGATGTTCCCTTCATGACATCACAAAGGGCAGTAACCCCTCCTCCAGGTGGGTGACACTCCCACAGCTAGGTGTTTGTTCTGCCCTCTGAGTCTGCCTTCTCAACATAAACAATAGGACATGGAGCGAGATATTCACAGACACCCGAGCCCTTCCAGAGAGGGGGCGTGGTCAGCTACAGCTCATTTACATATTTAAAGGTACAGACACAGAAACAGCCTGTTCTGAGCAGGGCTGAAATAGAGGGGTTTATAGGAATGATCAAATACAGGATCAGAGTGGATTTAGAACAAGAAACTTCACACATGTTTTGGGGAGCTCTGAGACTTATTTAAACTGGTTGAAGAGGAGGAGGATATGTGACATTTAAGGAAAACTCATTTACAATTCTGGCATGAAGAGCTTCAAAATAAAAAGAGCTCCGACCACTTGTCCAATCCATTTCAAAGTTTAATGAGACCAGACATTTCTCAATCTTTTAAATCTGCTCCTGTGTTCACGTTTCAGCACGGAATGAAAACCATGCCAGCGTGCTCATCGGACTCTCCTGATCTGGAAATCTGTGTCTTTAAGGCCTATAGCACTTCCCGTTTTAGGTAAAAAAAACTGAATGTCCTTTTTATGTTCTGGTTTAATTCTAGGGCTGCAGATGGTTTTTCTTTGCGTATTTGACAATTGAATATACATGATTGTTATTGCTAGTTTCTAAAAAGCTCGTAAAAATAAAGACCAAAGGATCGTTTTTTGAGAACATGAACGCAGCAAAGGTCTTTTATAAGTTGTGTTAGTACAACGTTTGGTTGATTGAGAGCAAATCAGTGTTAGGTTGATCAGTAAAGAGCCTAAAAGAGAGCAGTTATAAGGGTTAAAAAAGCCTAAGCTGTTCACACACACACTTTGCACACCAACACACACGCAGTAGAGAAATGCATGTCGTTAGTTTCAGATGAAGCACAGATTGCCTGGTTAATAGCCACCCTGGAAGTCTTCCCTGTAAGGTAATTGGCTGTTAGTTGAAAAAAAGAGAAGAAGAAGCTCTTCTTCTACAGTGGAGGCCGACACCCAGAAAAATCAACACTCAGCGGTGCGGGGAGAGATAAATGCTATCAAGGTTTCCCTGCTGCTCCAACAACATGTTGCACCTTGTCTTTGTAGATTACTCAGGCTCAGCTTTTCGTCTTCCATATCTGCCTCGGGAATCCAAACAGGCTGAGCCATAAAGAGATATGTGCTTAATAATCCTTGATGGCATTTTAATCTCTGTCCCCCTGTGTTACAACGTTAGTGTGAGTCTGCAGAGACGAGCAGCTTCAGAGTCGGAGTGAACAAAGAGAGGAGAGGTTAAAAAAATAAAAAGGACGAGGGCAGGTTTACTCAGGAGACCGCCGATGGTGCTGCAGCTCGGACGAGCTTCTGGAGCCTCACTGTTACCACGGTAACTAGCCCACAGCAACTGAGTTCAGCAGCATCCCGTTGTCTCGGCATCAGGATCTCTAGGAATGGAGTGAAAGATGACAGAATACACACACATTTCATCCCTGTCTGTTCACACTGAGAGGACTCATTGGACCCTTAAATCACAGAAACACGGGGCGCAGACGGCCCAGCAGGGAGGTCGTGCCCCATGTACGGAGGCCGTAGTCCTCCGAGCAGACCGCCTGGGTTCAAGTCTGACCTGCGGCTCCTTTCAAACAGTTCAATCCCCACTCTCTCTCTCGCTCCCTGCTGTCCCCAAAATACTTTAAAGTAAATAAAAGAGGTGGGGTTTTTTCTCATTTTTGATTTTTAATAATTGACGAAAAGGATTAAATTGTCACTATCAAAACAAGTTTGTAAAAAGCCTTAAGGAGGCCGGGTCGTAAAACATCTCTCGATGTGCAGACACCTCGTGAAACAGATGTATTGATGCATATTCATTTATTGATTCACATTTAATGGAACAATCAACAATAGAGTGCATGGATACAAACAAAGATGACTAGAAAGATCGATGTTTGCTTTTTAACTCCTGCCCCTTTTAACATCAGTCCTGCATTAAATGCTTCCTTCATGACTTCGTTCATTATGTAAAGTTTTTGTAGAGACGTGGATTGAACCTCATTGTGCAGGCAGCAGGTGATGATGCTGATGAAATTCACGGCATTACAGAGAGGTGTTTCTGTTTTTATGCCAACCCTCAATGATATAATTAGATAGAAGCATCTGTCAGCGTGACACAAAACACTCAACAACACCATAATTATATCCATCACACTGTCTGCATTATTCAGGGCTGAATAATTACTCTGCATGGGAAAAAAAACACCAAAAACATCTGGCTTATTGTTTACTGAGAGCGAGAATTCTGCATTATAAGATCCTGAGCTTCAATCAGAGATAAGGCGGAAAATGATGATGTCATCAAGGAACATTTGAAAAAAAGATTACTGCATCAAAGAGTGGGGACTTCCTAACATTGTAACATTGTTGCTTTAACTGCAGAGTCCACCTTAAAGGCAGGGTTGGTAATTTTCTAAAACTAGCATGATTTTGAAAGTAGCATTCCCTCAGTGCCCCGTCTGCACACACCCCCCCCCCTCTCCCCTCTGTGCTCTCTCAAAAGCCACGCCCTTCACTTACATGCACGAGCACCGTTGGTCAAGAAGCGGATCTCGGCCCATCTCTTGCTTTGTGTAGAAACTACATCGTCTCATGTCTCATTCAGTGGTAAGTAAACTCACAGTATAAACTCCGTCATCGGTGATACGCTTTGAGTGCGAGCTAGGGCATGCAAGAGGTAGAGAACGAGCAGGGAGACAGGGAGGCGTGTGATTGGTTCATCAGATTGGTACCTCGTGGCAGACATTGGTCAAAGTTTTTACAGACTTACAACTGCTAGAGATGACGGATTTTCTTTGTTCCTTTTTCAGAGCACGAGTTATTGATTTCTGTCAGGACCTAAAGACAATTTCAACCAAAATCTTAAAAAGTGTTTCTAGAGGAAATGACCAACCCTGCCTTTAACCAATGCATCATCATTTTTTTATTAAATAAATCCTGTATAAGTGATTTCTGTGTGGCCGAGGAATTCATAGTGTCACCTCAAAACATCATAAACCCACCAAGCCTGCACCTTTAATTCTCCCGTCACTGATTGTAACTCCTATTTCACACAGAGAAGTTCATGAATCTGAATGTGGTTCTTAAAACATCCAGTTGTGAGTTAGAGCAGGAAAAAATTGTATTTCTCTTGCATGTCTTCACCGTTATCGAAGATCTAACGACTTTTGCCCCAGCGATGATTGACCCATTAGAGTGTGTCATGTTTAAGTGGCAGACATGGAAGGCTGTGTTATGTCTGCTGTTACCTGGTGATCCTGCGAGCCTCCATGAAGCTGGGAGAATCTCTTCTTCTTTTACGAATGGGCGAGTAGCTGCGTGAGCGACGGCGGGCTCGGCTGTCGGTGTCGGAGCGGTTGGCACTGTCCCTCTCTCTGCATCACAAACAGAAAACCATCAGAACAGCAAAACAGAAACCCTGGCAACAAGTAATCAAACAGTTAAGAATAACTCACCTGGAGTTATTCTGTCTGTTGTGGGGGGACTTGGCCTTGCTCGGCCCTCTGTCTCTGGAGGCAGAGCGTGACGATGAACGGCCGCTGCTCCAGGAGCTGCTGCGCTGCCGGAGGTTTGGTTTGCTTCGAGACTCCTCTTTCTTCCTGCCCGATGCGTGCGAGTGGCGTCCTGGAGATGCTGACGTGCTCCGGTGGTGAGCCTGACCTCGAGTAGAGCGGTGGTGGCGCTTGGAAGAGTGGCCACCTTTTGTCCTGTGATACATTAAAAGAATGATCTTATTATTGTTGTTTAAAGGAGCAGTATGTAACTTTGACACCTAGTGTTTAAGATGGGTACTGCAGCCCAAATTAAAAACATTATAGAAAGCTGTCTCCCCCCGCCCCCTCCTCTCTAGAGTCGATGCTCACGCAGGTGCCATGTGGTGAACACTGAAGCTTCAGTGTTTATCCAGCTCTCCATCAGTCTGTAAACCTTTCTGTCTTCTAACCTCTCTCCATTTTTCAAAAGCATCTCCAATATTGATCCTAGTTTGAGCACGTTTCTGCTTGTGGAGCTTATTAGAAACATGCAGAGGCTTTTTAGGTCGGGTACAATCACTTCTATCTGAACCACTTCTCTTGCCCGCTTCCATCGCTGCAACACCTGTTGGTTTGACCTGATAACTGCTCTCATATCTGGAGAACCGAGGGGAGTCCAAAACTGTTGTTTGTGCTTACTTCCTCTGATGCCGAGGGGTTCTCCCTCTGTGAGCATGGTTGTGCTGCGAGTGGGCCGAGTCGCTACTGTGAGCGGGGGAGTGGGAGCTCTTATTCTGGCCTCTCTGACTCCCTCTCCTCCCTGACGTCTGGTTCACAGCTGTGTTCCTGCCGTCCACACTCCCAGCCTCTCCCGCTGTGCACATTTGTCCCGTTTGGCTCCTGCCGGGGGCGCTGTGGAGCTTATGCTCTCTCAGCAGAGTGGACTGGAGGCCGTCAGAGCTGGAGGTCAGCAGACGGAGCTTCTGCAGAGAAAACGATGACCAACAAAGGAAAGAAAAAAAAAAAGAAAAAAAAAGAAAAAGGGCAAAGAGAGCATTAGAGTGTTTTCAGGTGGGGGGAGTGAGTGCTACGGTGTACTTGCCAAAAGAAGGTAAACATCTAAAAGAAAAAGATCTAGGTTTTCTCCATATGGCTTATAGATAGTCCTCTATGGTGCAGCGCATGCAATACTTGGCATGCAAAACCATAATGAGTTGAAGAAATCATAATCGCAAAAACAAACAAAAAAACTAGGAGGAGGAAGGAGGAAGAGGAAGAGAGGGAAAAATATCAACAAAACTGTGAACCAAATAAGTTAAAGAGCAGAGGCAGAAAGTACAGAGCTACAGAGTTTGTAGAGTAGAAAAAGAGGACTTCTTCATTGTTTATTCTTTTTTTAAAGTAATGGTTAAAAAAATGAAACGAAACAGAAAGAGAAGACAACTTGACGGAACATCACAGAAATGGAAGGAACAAAATAAAGTTCACAATTATTGAATCGATCGAATCAGAAAACAAATCGTCTGCTACTCAATTTTCTCTTTCTGGATTTTTTTTTCCTGAAGACAATTGCTGAGATGTGAACAGCGACCCATTTTCTCTGTTTTTTTTTTTTTGGTCTAATGGTTACTCTTGTTTAACTCCCTTCTGGTTAACATCCACTTACCAATAAAGTGGTATTCCCTCCTTTAGTAGGTAAGGTATGAAGAAAAGGGAAAAGTGGGGCAACATAAGTGCATCATTAGATTCACAAAATGCAAGAGAAAAAGACACAAAACCCTTCCCTGCCAGTGACTCATGAGACAATGCATGGACATCAATGGAAAAGAACTGAAAAGCAAAGAGGAAAACCACAATGTGCAGGGAAGCCCTCACACACAGAGTCAATCCTCCTGGGCCCGCTCCCCTCCTATACATCGCACAGCAGCCGGCTCGCCACAGTGACACCTTTTATCTGTCACTTTTAAGACAGCTGGGTGTTTCTTACCTATTTTTCTCTCCATGGATTCTCTACCCCGTCTTAAGGAGTATTTAACTGGAAAGGTAGGGAAAGCTAAACGAGATCCGCACACCAAGAAGCTCCCATTAGAAGGATTTACAGTCTGAGGACGAGCATGTTCGCTCGAAGCGTCACTTAATAAATCCTTCTAACGGGGGCTTCTTGGTGTGCAGATCTCGTTTAGCTTTCCCTACCTTTTTGTGTTTTTGGGATCCAGCACCCACTGAGGGATGAACGTGTCTCTTTAGATTTTTAAAGGACTATTTAACTCCCAGACACGTCTTTAAGGTCTGGTGTTTCAAAGACTTCTGGTTACAACCAAAGTTTCTGTTAACGTATCTCTACATCAGCAACAGTGGGTTAAACTCCTGGGAAAACACTCGGGTTCAACCATATTTCATGGTGTTCATGTTTTTATTTCTGGGGAAGACTGATGTAGGAACCCCCTCCAAAAAGTATCAGTCCTGTGAAACTCCAGTTAACGACTGAAACAAGTCGATGGATCCTTTAGGCTTTTAGAGCCCACTTTTAGAGTGACGAGAAGTCTGCATTAGCTTCAAGCTAACAGTTTGCAAAGTAAAAATGTGTCCTGAAGTATGAGAGAGTCGATATATTTTTTATGATCTTAATACCAGTTAAAGACCAAAACCAACAATAAATCTGTCCCAACTATGATGTATGTTTTTATCTCTGCACCAGAGCATGAATAATGGTCCCCAACAGATGAATCTTTCACTCCTGTGTGATGCATGTGTGCTCTGGTGCCCAGAGGAGGAGATCAGTTCATCTCATTTTCAGCTGCTAGAAAAGATCTACAGGCTGCAGTGTTGGCCTGGACTGTCGCCTGGTCTGCTTTTGGTCCAGTCAGGCAAAATCTTAACTATTCCACCATGGTCGTCAGAGGATTCATTCTACTAAATCTGATGTGTTTCCGTCTTTAATGCTCGCAAAATAAATGCGATAACGGTGAGAAGAGCTAATGAGCTAATGTTAGCATTTAAACACACACAGTCTGTAAACATTGTAAACATACCTGCTAAATATTAGCATTTCAGTATTGTCATTTTATGTTAGCATGTAGCTAAGGTAATTGCTAATACTGGACTTGCTAAGCCGCCCGCACTGCATAATCTTCTACAGCATTATTTGGACTCTTTCTAAAATCTTTCCTCCTCAGAAGAACCCTCCTGATATTTGCAGGAGGAGCTGTTCGTGTGAACGCTAACAGCCAAACTGCTGCACGACCATAGACTGTCTGCACGTCACCTCTACCATCTCTGTGCTCTAATGAACCTGCTGTATTATGTTTCCTGTTCTCCAGTATGTTCTTCTCCACTCTTTAGTTCACATTGTGATTCTGTTCAACTACACGTAGCATTGATAGAAATACACATATTCTCATTATAGCGTCGTATAGAGGACTCTGTTGCTTCGTCTGCTACTTCTGCATAATTTTTTGTCTTGCCTCAGGAGACCCCCTCGCCCCCCTCTAGTCTGACATGGATAGTCTCCCGCTGTGAGGAGCATATGTGAACATCCAGGTCAGGAGAATATCCAGAGCAGTCCTCCGGAAATGATCTAGATATTTTCAGGAGTGCAGATGTGGAAACGGCTACATTGTTGGATTTGGTCTTTTGGAGGTATTTGTTCCTGGCAGGAATCACATTGAAAGAGAGATTTGAATATACCTGATGTTCCAAACCTCTATTTGAAAAACCAACAAAGTATCAGTGTAGGATGGAGGGTCAAAGTGGGAGTTTGTAACAGATACTTGTGATGCACACAGCCGCTGTAGGCAGCTCAAAGAAGAAGGTAAAACTCCGAGATGTATTTTGAAGAAAAGCAAATACAGCTGAGGTTTAGGCATGCAATGAGAAGTTCAGATTGAACATCTTCCTAATCTAAGATACAATAGAAACACTGACGAGTGGCCCCTGCAGAGAGAAGAGCCATTCTCCACAGGAGAGAGAGAGGACAACTAGGCGGTATATAAGAAGAACACACAACCACTGGTGCTTATTACAGTCGTTAGAAACAGTCGTGGAAATCAATATGATGTAAAATCATAAGACGAATGTTCTAAATCACCAACAAACAGAGAGATGCTGGACAAACAGGAATGCATTCTACCAAAAATCAACAGAAAGAAAAACGAAAAAGAAGAAAGAAAGAAAGGAAGAGATGGACCTGGAAGATAGAGCGGGACACTTCAGGATGAAGTTAAGAAGGAAAGAGAAAAACCAGAGCTCTACGTAATCCAATCTTTTTAAGAGTCAAATCATAACAGCTGAAGTAAAATGAGTTTAGACCATAGTGTAAACAACAGAAAGAGAGAGAGAGGAGGAGAGAGAGAGAGAGAGAGAGAGAGAGAAACATTGACGTCACTCAGGCTAGGGTGCTTGTCACATTCTCATCTGCATATAGATCACGTGCGTAGGCAAAGCGTTACCTACCTTCCATTTCAATCAGTGACACGTATGCAATATTAACAAAACAAAGGAAAGAAAGAAAAAAGGAGAAAGGAATGTTCTCCGCAGCGAAATGGGAAAAAGACAATGACCTCTTTTAGTAACAAAGCTACATACTTGTGTCCAGAGACTAAAGGACAAATAAACAAACCAAAAAGTCAAAAAAATAACGTAGAGGAGGGGGGGGGAAGGGGGTAATAAAAAATCAAATCCAGATGGAATTCAAACTAAAATAAGAAACAAAGGATGAATCTAAGCACTACATGATTTGCTTTGTCTTTTTCGCTTGTACAAATGCAGCCATATTGTGTCAAAACAGGGAATGGATAGAGGTAAGTGGAAAGAGTTAATTGTCATATTAGTGGACATCCATGTAGAGTAGAGGAGCTATAAGGACGAGGAGGAGGAGGAGGAGGAGGAAGAGGAAGAGGAGGAGGAAGGCATGCAGAGCTCGCAGATGTGAAAGATAAGTGGGAAGTAAAAATGGTAGGACAACAAGAGTGAGTCACACAGGACACAGATGATCAGGTATACAGGACAAGGGGGGAGGGGGTGGGGGCAGGGAGAGATAGTCACTGCTATAATGTACAACTAGCACATTTAAAAGGGACCCCAGTCACATTTTGGCCTGGGTCTTTTTTTCAGCAGCACTCTCTAGCTCTCTATTCTGTTATGTTTTTGGACGTCGGCCATCTTTCTTCCAGGTGATCTTTTGTTATTTGTGCATCGGGATAAACACAGGTACGGAGGGAGAGCGCCCCGAGGAGCAGTTTGAAACTGTAAGCCAGAACATGGGAGCTCACTTTCAAAAATGGCTTGGGTCCCTTTAAAAGTAACACTGGTGTTTTTTTTTTCAATGTGTCAGTAGTCCTAGTAATCTCCAAGAGTCCATGTAGTTGTGTTTGAAGTGTTTAAAAACATCCATTAGTCATGAGCAGGAGGAAGACTGGCCCCTTGTTTGGGACGGTCTCGCTCATCGTGTTGGAGACAGTCTGGAAGCTTTGTGCTGTAAAGCTTGTTTTTTTATCAACTTCCCCAAAAGTCCTCCACTCTTAAGCTTTCTCTCCTGAAATCTAGAGGCATGCAACTTGATCCAATAGTTGAAGGATAGCAGGGTGACCTGTTACCCACAATCCTCTGTGCAGCAAGATACACAACGTCGAAGCACCACCAGTGTTCAAGCTTCCAGGTGAGCTTTGGTATTGCCTTGCATGTTTTGTATCTCCAACGAAAAATGTTAAATTTCAATGTGAACTACATGCAAAAAAGGAAAACGGCAGTACAAGCTAATGTCAAAAATTTGTGTCTCTAGTCTGTCTAAAAACCCCCAATGATGAGAAAAGTCCATCCTCTCCGTCTTTTGCCTGCTCCACTTTTCAGAAAATGTGTGCTCAAACAGGCCGTTTGGAGATGTTCCCTTTATGACATCACAAAGGGCAGTAACCCCTCCCCCAGGTGGGTGACACTCCCACAGCTAGGTGTTTGTTCTGCCCTCTGAGTCTGCCTTCTCACCGTAAACAATAGGACAAGGAGCAAGAAAGCCCGAGACACCCGAGCCCTTACAGAGATGGGGGCGTGGTCAGATACAGCTCATTTACATATTTAAAAGTACAGACACAGAAGCAGTCTGTTCTGAGCAGGGCTGAAATAGAGGGGTTTATAGGCATGATCAAATACAAGATCAGAGTGGATTTAGAACAAGTAACTTCACAGACTTATTCAAACTGGTTGAACTTTTGCTATTTGCTAAAATATCAAATTTGCTGTAGTGATGACAAGCCAGGCTTAAAAAGCAACCAACTGGACGTTGGTTTTTCATGAGAGAGAGCTTCAAGGAGGGCATTCATTTGTAGTTTGTTACCGAACTTTTCTCTAAGAAGCATCCAGGACTGTCTCCGTCACAGTGAATGATATGGATCCAAAGAGGACGACTACAGAAACAAATTAGGATGACAAAGATATAAAAAAAACAAAGCTGCTATATTGAACATTTGCTAAACCACACAACTGCTGCAGTAAAATTGAGATCTGTCACACATAAGCACCCTTCTCCTCTGCCATGACTCCAGTTTGGAGGGTAGCATGAAAACAAATATCTACACTTTTGGTGCAGATTAACAAAAAGAGGCATCATCACCTACAGAGATGCTGCTTAACGAAGAGCCATGTAAATACTCCTTCACTACATCCCAACAGAGAGGCTCAAAGGTACAAACAGACCTCCTGCAGGCCCGGTTCAAGAACCAAATGATTTAGGGGGGTGCAGCTGAGATTAAGGGGGGGGGAGGGGCAGCAGCTATAGCCACGGCAACATTAATGACAAATAGCGTAGTTCTTATGGGTCCCAGGTGAACGGACAGGTCACGTGCACCTCTCATGACCATCATAGAGTCACTGTTGTCATTTAAAGGTAAATAAAAACACTATCTCTGTTTTTTGCATCTATTCAATTGAGGGTGCAGAAATTTAAAATGAGGGTGCAATGCATCCTTCTGCAGCCTTGTAGAAACCCCCCCTCGCCTTTCTGCAACCGGCCTGAGACTAGAAACAAATGTTCGGGATTGAAGAGACACTGCCACCTAGGGGCGACATGCATATCAACATTTGTGTAAAGTAAGTAAGGAGCAGTAGAGTCTGTTTTAAGCTGTGGTGGTTTTTCTGCAGGAGCTGATGGACGCCTGGAGGAGAAGAGGATCTATCACTGAGCAGAACATGTGCTTAAGGAGAAAAGACAGCTGTATTGACAAGAAGAAACTATTACACATACCCAGTTAACCTACGTGGTCCAGTTCCAAAACATTTGAGTGCTTTTTATACAAACGAGACAGAAAGATTTGGGCATTTATTCATGAGTATAAACCAATCAGATTGATTAAAAAAACGAACAAAAATAAGCAGAGAGAGAGAGAGAGAGAGAGAGAGAGAGAGAGAGAGAGAGAGAGGACACATGTGAGCTGGAGTAGAAAACAGAAGACATCAGTTCTCTGAGTTTCAAACAATTTAGACGTCCATCCATTAAAAGGACGATCATATCATGAGCGTTCCCTTTGGTTCTTAGTCGTGTTGTTTGTTATAAACAAACGTAACGTCCGCTGTCTGACTATAGCTCTGATGATCATTTTAAAGTGGTGAAGAGCAGAGGTCGTTTCCATGACAGCGGATTTAATCAGAGACTAACAGAGGAGCAAAAACAAACCAGGAGCACTTAAACAGCAGAGAGGGGATTATATACAGAGTGTGATTTATCACGCTTTAAGGGGCCTATTATAGGAAGTGTCTGCTGTTTTTTAATGTAATGTAATGACCCTTAAATAAATTAAAGATAAAGAGAAATGCTCCGGCACACTGTCTCACTTTCTGCTGATAAATGTATTTTATCATACAACGTTTCGGTGTAACCGACCTTCATGAACGTATCGGCATAAAGCGAGACTGTTTTTTTGTACTGTACTGTCAGCGCGTAGCAACACCCCTCGACCTCAGGGATGCAGACCTTCTTAGGAATCATTGATCTATGTTTACTGTGTTTCATTCTTCTTCTTTGTTGAATTTATTGGCTTTCTACGCTTTGTCGCGCAGCTGTGATATAATGAAGTGTAAGGGGTAAGGTTAGCTGTGGAAACGCGAGCAAGATCAGGATTTACCGTAACCCAAACCGGACCAAACTGTTCTGAACCAAACCGGACTGCTTAGTGGAAACGGGGCTTAAGGTACTAATAACTGCTCAATAATGACGAATAATCCGCCATTATGCAACTAATTAGCATGCCAATTAGTGACGAGCTAATGATGAATATTGTGACATTAATATAAAGTGTTACCCTATGTTCTGTTTCATCCTTTTGTGTGTTTGTTTGAAGCACTTTAAATCTTCCATGCAGCTCTGCAACAAAAACAGGTGGGATTGCTGCGTTGTTCTGCACAGCCGTATTTTGTTCAATTCATTTTGTCATGCTCAGATCAAAGCTTTCCATTTAATAATTGGATTAGTTAGTTCAAGAGGGAATCACAGATTTGTATCACTTTGAAGCCCCGTCAGACGTCTGATCAGAGCGCTTAATAATATTCTCTAATGAAGACGTTATCTGCAGACGTTCTCATTCCTGACACATTTTTGTTTTAAAGATCATTTTGGGGGTGTTTTTAGTCATACCTGTTCCTGCCTCCCTTTATTCTGTTGTCTTGTGTGTTAGCAGACACCTGCCCCGAAAGAAAACACACATTTTTGTGCATTCATTTGGAAACGGTGTGTTTGCCGTCGCGCATCATATTTCCATCTGAGGTGTGGTATGTTAATGTTGAGCCTCGTCTCAGAGGATGTTCGCTGAAATGAAAAACTAGAACCTTTCATCTCTTTGCTCCCTCCCTCTGTTACCGGCAAACAACAAGAACAAACAAAACAAAAAATCAGGATGGCAGAGGAGTCAAAGGGAGCCAGAAACAAAGCAGCAGGAGCAGCAGCTTTTTACACACAGGGGTGTTTTCTTTTTTAAATGTCTAAAATAATCATATTCTTAAGAAAAACCTAAAAAACTATGACAAATAATTTCAAAGATTCAAAGAAGATGAGAATTGATGTCAACCAACACAAAGAGCAGGATAAAAGTCACTTTGTGGAGACTGTCAGATACCGTTGGAGAGGGTTTGGGGGGTGGGGTGGGGGGTGTGGGAGTGTAATAGATGAGAGTACATACATCGTGCCCTTTCTCTCCCTCGCTGTGGTTGAGTCTGCCGGCCTTTCCGTTTCGGCTCCGCTGGGTGTGGTCCCCGTTGTGCCAAGCGGTAGGAGCGTTGGAGCCCGGGGACAGCGAGGTGCCCGACGCTTTTTGTCCATCTGTCTTGTGCTTGGAGTTCAATCTGTGAGAGCAGCGACGGGAGAGAAAAAAAAAGCATCTTATATAATGCACACACAGACTCCTTCCTGCAGAGCAACGCTATTAAAAATGTTCATAAACTGTGGCTGCAGTTGGCCTCGCTCAGGGCTCATATTTATCAAAGGGCTGAAAGGGAATCTCTGGACCTCATGATAAAAATAATGACTTCACCTGTTGTATTGCTCCTTGAAAATAAAATGACCGAGCTTGAGAGAATTTATGAGCAGGTTAAGAGTTGACCCTAGAAGACTGCAGGTGAGAGACTGCAGCCAACACTTGAGTTTGTATAAGCACTGATAATAATGAAGAATATATCAAATACATCTATGAATAATTCAGAACGAGGTCGTGTAAGCTGACTTATTGTATTTGAAAAGAACATTTTACTAGTGTTGTAGTCAAGACCATACTAACCGAGACCAAGACATACCCAGGACCAGAAAGCTCAGAGACCGAGTCAAGACCAAGACCATAAACATCACTGAAAAATCATCATCTTCGTTGTTTTAGAAAAAGGCATTTTCCTTCTAATCACAGTAATGACGTGGCAAAGAAGCCTATCAGTGGTGGTCTTGACAGGTCTTGATTTATAACACGGATTCCGTCCAGTCTGAGGCTGAGACAAGGCCGAGTAAAAATGCTTTCAAGTCCGAGACGAGACCAAGACCTTCAAAATGTAAGCGATTTCGAGTACTTCAACACTAAATTGTTACATCATGTTTTGCATTCTTATACAACATCAACACAGCTGCATTGATTTTGTAAGAAATCAATTTTTTTGTTGTATTTTTTGGGTAATTTCAGCTTTTATTAAACTGGGAGAGCTGAAGGATAGTTATTATGTTATTATGAGTACGCAAATGAGTCCTATTTGTACCTGACTACATCCCATGAGGAGACAGAGAGTCTCTGGCCAATCAGTTCAGCTTTATCAGTGTGCGTGTGTGTGTTGATGTGTGTGTGTGTGTGTGTGTGTGTGTGTGTGTGTGTGTGTGTTTCTGTGTGTTGCAGTGTCTACCTGGTGGGAGATTTGGAGGTGCTGCGGATGGAGGACAGGGAGGCGCTACGGGAGCTGCAGCAGCTTCCTTGACGCTGTGAACTCCTGCTCGGGGTCTCACCGGGGGACCTGATGGATGACAACAGACACACACACACGTGCATACATTTACATCCGCAAAGCCATGTGTATGAACACACACATCACAGGGGGGACACACGCGCCACAGCGAGCTCAGTGGACTATCTCATGATATGTAAAACAGTTCATGCAGCGCCACACACTTCCAATATATATTCTAATCAAGGCAGGGTGCAAATGTATGGAGGGAAATTGTGTTTCTGTTCTGTCATTAAAATTCTTTGTGAGTCTGCGTGTGAGACAATGGGTGTAAAATAGCAATATAAATGTATGAGACTTCCAGTCGTACCCAACGTTCAAGACTAAGATGTTTGTTCACTGTGTGAATCCTCGACACTGTGCACAACGTTTTACTGATAATCAATGTGAAACTGTGTTACATCAGAGATCTGTGTCTTTATGTTAGTTCATCAACACCTGGTTAAGGGTTTATAAGTGACTCTCGGTGCATCTCACCTCTTTTTCTGCTTGTTCTTGTCTTTGTGTTTGTTCTTTGGGCTGCCAGATCTGAAAAACACGCCACATGTCAGACAATGAAGCCGTGCTCATTACAGCAAGTAGAAAGAGGAGTCACCACTCACCCATAAGGATTGCATTGTGTTTTAAACAAACAGTAATCAATAAGCAGAAGTGACAACATCATTACTCACACTCTGACATTTACAGTAAAGTGCGTCTATGCAGTAATGTTAACGTCACATACACACCTGTATCTCCTCTTTTTCCGGGAGTCAGACGCAGATCTAGAAAAAGGAAAACACCACGGACATTTAATGATGACAGTGATTGTCAAATGTATCATTCAGACAAAATATGATCTAGTGTTGTAATACTCTAATCGGTCTTGGTCTCGAGACCACTTTTTGAAGGTTTCCGTCCATCCATCCATCCATCCATCCATCCATCCATCCATCCATCCATCCATCATCCACCATCCATCCATCATCCATCCATCCATCCATCCATCCATCCATACTTCCATCCATCCATCCATCCATCCATCCACCTATCCATCCATTCATCCATCCATCCAAACTTCCATACTTCCATCCATCCATCCATTCATCCATACTTCCATCCATCCATCCATCCATCCATACTTCCATCCATTCATCCATCCATCCAAACTTCCATCAATCCATCCATCCATCCATCCATCCATCCATCCATCCATCCATCCATCCATCCATCCATCCATCCATCCATCCATCCATTCACATGTGAAAACTGAGGAGCAGGAGTGTGTTTTTAAGAATCAGGTTTACTGAGTCATGTCCAGATTTACCTCTCACTCAGCAGAGCTCATTTTTCAATCAGCCCATTTCAGATTTGCTTTGCTTCTGGGAATGAAACTAAACCTGCTTCTTGAAATAAATTCAAGGACATTAGAGGTATTATTTTGACAAACGCTCGAGGCCAAAAACCCCAAATCACTGCATGCATTTCTTTTCTTTGCACTTATATTTTCCTCAACAATAACAGCGGCTGTAAAAGGGAGCCAAGCAGAGGCTCCCAAAAACTGATGAAGGCCACTCAAAAAATGAGCAAGTCCCCATAGTGTGTCAGGTGAAATTGACCAACTTCATGGGGCGCAAGATAGCTTGTGGAAAACTTCACTCTGGACTTCTGACCTGAACCCCTGAATATTCTGTGGAGTATTGTCAAGAGGAAGATGAGAGACCCCAGACCCAATGATACAGACGAGCTGAAGACTGCTATCAGAGCAAGCTGGGCTTCCATCACACCTCAGCGGAGCCACAAGCTGACTGCCACGCCACATTGAAGCTGTGATTCATGCAAAAAGAGCCCTGACCAAGTATTGAATGTATAAATGAACATGCTTTTCAGAATGTCGACATTTGATTGATTGATCTTATGAAATTCTGGAATCTAGAATTCATGAAAGTTTCACATTTTTAATTACTCTAAAAAAGTAGCTTCTCCATGATATCCTACGTTTTGGAGATGCAGCTGTATGCATGCTTCTCATGACAAAGATATCTAAATGCTTCATGAAAACATTACGTATACACTGACACACAAAGCTGTGTTAGCACTGAACAGCTTTCAGCATTAGAGTCTACGTTTCTGCTACAGAATTTGAACATGTTCAAGTAAGTGTGAGCAGCAGGAGGATCATGTATTTCCACGTGCCAACTCGTGAATGAATATTTAATGCTGTGTATGTGGACACATCCCGTCCTGCTAACCAATCTGAACAACATGCATTTATCCATATGTGCAGAGACGTCCACAGGGAGCTCTCCCAGCAGGCTTTACAGCTGGTATTCTACAGGTGCTGCATGTCACGAATCATTTTTCAGATGTAAAGAAGCTGCTTCCTCCATCAAAGCAACCATCTGAGATCCAGTTTCACTTAAACCCCTCTGTGAGTGTGCGGTAATGATGGAGAGAGACCGGCCACTTCTGAGTCCTCAGTGACTGACACACCTCCAGATCACTTTCACCTTCCAAGCAGTTTCCATGGTGATTAGTCTGAGCGGTCTGTGAGAGTTGTAGCAATGTTTCTGAAGAGCCCTTCATCTTCTCTGCTGGTTTTACACACCTATAGCATGCAGTGGAGTGGGAGGAGAGTGGGTTGATTCTCTCTGAAGGGGCAGTAATAAAGCTGTCACAGTAATGTATGTGGCTGATATGTACTCTGAGATGTGGCCCCAGCAGCAGAACATGTTTACCTCCCCCCCTCGACTGGAGGGAAATCTGCTGGGGACTAGTGTGTATGAAGTGTTGCTCTGCAGCACTCGTTCCTCTCCTCCTCTCCCACACACCGCTCTAAACCTCACTCCTCCTTCTACTTCAAGAGCTGCCAGCGTGGGGATCAGCAAGGTACAAGAACACGTAATAAAACACACTTTAGAAGTGGCTCATTGGTATTGCTACTATTTGCAAAAGTGTTAAAAAGATATCAGACATTAAGGAAACATGCTATGTTGAAGCTTCTCTGACAACAATGCAGAAGCCAGTATGTCCTCCTTCTAACTTTAGATTCAGCTCCTGAATGCTCTGGATTTGTTTGGACCAGAGAAGGTAGGCGCTTTTAAGGCACCCCCACACGGCCGTTTTGGACGCCCCTCGGTTTGCCAGATATGAGACCAGTTATCAGTGCCCATATGTCTTCAACGTATATAATTAACTAAGTTATTCCTGCTAATACTACACATACTGTTACCATATATTACTGACATTGTAGCTTTAAATCGATCTTATTCATTGTTGTTGTTGTTGCTCTGTTTGTCCATTTCCTTCTTCCTGAATCTTCTTCTATCCTATTTTTCAAGCCTAACACAATCTCAGCAGACGGCTGTTCATCATGAGTCTGGTTCTGCTCGAGGGTTCTGCCTCTCAAATGAAGTTTTTTCTTGCCACTGTAACTCTGCTCATGATGGATTAACGTTGGGTCTTTGCACATCATATAACACAAAGTAAAGTATTTTAGCTGCTCTTTTGAAAAAGCGTCTCGAGATAACATTTGCTGAATTGGAATGAATTGGTGCTATACAAATAAAGATTAATTGATTGACAATCTGATAAAGAGCTCGTCTGCTTAAAAAGTCACTACCCTGGTGAATTAAATCACCTGGACTATTTGGAGCCCTGCAGTGTGCGAGGACACTCCTGCTCGACTCAGCACCTGCCCTCTTTGCTTTGGATGTGCATGGTCTTCTGTTGTTGTACATTTTTTTTTTGCATAAAGCCAAGTGGAATATTTTTTCATGCAAATCTTTCTTTTAGTATTTATTCTTCTTCATTTTTTTGCACATCTTAGAAAGTATTTTAATCTACTTTTAGTGAAGCAAACTACATCTCTATAAAGGGTAGCTTGCCGTAGTCCACATTCTTCCGGTGTGTGTATTTAAAGAATAGCAGTTTCTGCACAAGCCCAACCTGGAGCTGATTCTTTAAACATGTAGAGATATATAAGGAAATCATTTTAAAAGGAAAGGATCAAAGTCGTCTCCACCTACCTTCCTAACGCACATAAAAAGAATCAGACCAACATGAACATGAAGGGAGGCGGGTTCCTCAGGGGAGGAGCCCTGCCTACCTCAATCTATACATTATTCATACATCAACAGTACCTGCAATGCAGAGCAGCTTTAGCGTGAGGCAGGGGGGTGGGCGTGGGGGCGGGGGGCTGAGCATGGAGGATGAGAAAGACTCAGATGTGTGTGTGGATGGATGAGAGGTGGGAAACAGGAGCGGGGCAGTGCACTGATGCTCAGCAGTTTGGTGAGAGGCTCATTTTTCTTGTGTTTGTGTGCCCCCATACAGGCTGGGTTATTAGAGCAACACATTCAGCTCTGTGCCCCCCCACCCCCCATCCCCTCAAGTCAGATACAGAAAGAGAGACACTGGTGGAGGAGAGCACTTATTGTTGTGATGATATCCCACAATGCATCGCACGAGTATTTGTTGATGAGCTCATGCTTTTTACTCCTCCCTCCCCTTTCCATTTTTGTCCCCTTTCCCCTCCTGCCTTTTATCAAAGCTCTTCTTCCTTTTTATATTTAAGGCTCTCGTCCCTTTCTTTTTAACTTGTCTTTCTGCTTTTATTCTGTTTTCCTTTAGTCCTGTCTATGTTGAATTCCGCCTCTCCTTTTCTTTATCTCTGTCTTCCCTCCGTAACCTGATTTTCCTTCCTTTCCCTTCTTCTCGGATCTCTTGTGACATCTACTGTATCTTCCTTCTTCATATCTTTTAGTCTTTCTTCCTTTCCTTTCCCTTCTTACCTCTCGGTCTTTCTTACCTTCCTTTATCTTCCTGTCTTATCTTTGTCTTAAAACTTCAAACAATCGCTCTGCCTTTCCTGTTTCTTTACCTTCCTTCTCATTTCTCTTGCTTGAATCTTTTCCCTTATCCCTCTACCTTTCTCCTGTTCCCTTTTTTCCTATTTCTATATCTTCTTCCTTCTCTCTTCTTCACTCTTTTTTCAACTCTTGGCTCTTTACCTCCTCTTTTTCGATTTATTCTTTCAACCATTTTCTCACCTTCCTTCCTGTTTCCTAACATCTGTCTTCCTTACTACCTCCCATCTTTTAGACGTATCATTCTGTCCTCCTTCCCCCTTTTCTCTTCTTTCTTTACGTCCCTTGACTTCCCATGTTTTATCTTCTTCCTCAAATCACGACTTTCTTCTCACCTTATCTTTTTTAATTTGTCTTTCTTTCTCATCTCTATGAGAGCAACTCACACACACACAGTATGCACACACTCACACAATAACACACACTCACACAATAACACACACTCACAGTACTGTATGCAAACACTCACCTGTCTCTCTTGTGTTTCTTCCCACTCTTCTTCTTCTTCTCTCTGTGAGTGGGTGACGAGCTGCCGAACCTATTGACAGAGAGAGAAACCGTTTCCATGGATTTCTTAGACTGCGACATGAGCCTCAGATTGTTTCTTTAGTCTGTTATTGTTGCATTACATTACACCTCATTGTTGTCAGTGTTGTCGTCCTATAGCAGCTCAGATGAGTTCTTTATAAGAACTGTGATTCATCCTCCTGCTCTTTTTTTCTTATTCTTGTTTCCCCTTTCACAACAATGGCTGAGTTAATACTGATGGTCTCTTTACTCAGCAGCCTCTACCATCAGTGTGTGAATGTGTAGGTGTGACCTGCAGTGTAAAAGCACTTTGAGTAGTCAGAAAACTAGAAAAGAAATATAAAAGCTCAAGTCCATTTACCATTTATTCCACCCCTTCACAATTGCAGTATCGAATGGCTCGTTTGTAAATTTTACCCCAAAATAATTACCATTCTGTTTTACAAAATCACAGAGTAATTATTCTGTCAAGGAGGCTAGAAAAAAAGAGAAGGAAACCATGTGCACCACTTCATCAGTGGAAGCTGTTTCCACTCACCGACTCCTTCTGCGGCCAGATTTCTTCTTCTTCCTCTTCTTCGGTCGAGGGGACGGAGAGCTGCTTGATTTCCTCTTCACCCTGAAGTGTTGAAAGAGAAAGAGTAAACAAGAAAGGGAGAGCAGGAAGAGAGGGAATAATTCACAAGTGATTGTTATTATAATAATTTCCCAGAAAGAATACATTTTTGATTATAGTTATTTGCTGCAAGGCGGGGAGTGTCTATTTTCCCATTTCCTCAATTGAATGTGGCACACGAAAAATATTAATTCAAACATAAAGCAGAGAGGA